ATTAGCATCATTCATCTTAAAACCAGGTTTGGAGTGATGGGCGTGCGCAATGCAATGTGCAGGTGATGCAATGCGCAATGCATCTGCACATTGAGTTATACACTTGAAACCTGTATTTTTTGTGAACCAAGTCACCCCAATAAATTCAATTAAAAAAACAACAGCAACAGAGCAAAAAGAGAACGGCAAAGAGGTAGATGCTACATGCCTTTCCTCATCTTGAAAGACTGACTTTGTGCTTCTCTCTCCTGGCATCAATTATATCAGCAGTTTTTCCTAAGAGAGAGCACTTGGTTTTGTAATGGATCAACCTGGATTTTCATCTTATCTTGGGTGGCTGTTAATTTTATCACCTGAGGCAGCCATTTAACGTCTTCATTTCACAAGGTTGTTTGGGGATTAAGCGTGAGTAATTTGTCTAAAGCACCTGGAACAGCGCTGGACAAGATAGCCATTTGCTTTACAATCCTGCCTCAACTAAAGCAAAGAGTGACTGCTCTGCCCGGTCAGCGTGCCTCAGTGGTTGAGCGTCAACCTATGAACCAGGAGGTCACAGTTCGATTCCCGGTCAGGACACATGCCTGGGTTGTGAGCTCAATCCCCACATGCAGGAGGCAGCTGATCAATGATTCTCTCTCATCATTGATGTTGCTATCTCTCTCCCTCTCCACTCCTCTCTCTGAAATCAATTTAAAAAAATGTATTTTTTGCCGAAACCGGTTTGGCTCAGTGGATAGAGCGTCGGCCTGTGGACTGAAAGGTCCCAGGTTCGATTCCAGTCAAGGGCATGTACCTGGGTTGCAGGCAAATCCCCAGTAGGGGATGTGCAGGAGGCAACTGATCGATGTTTCTCTCTCATCGATGTTTCTAACTCTCTATCTCTCTCCCTTCCTCTCTGTAAAAAATCAATAAAATATATTTCAAAAAATATATAATTTAAAAAAATGTATTTTTTTAAAAAGAGTGACTGCTCCAAGACAGGAAACTGGATATGACCAGAGATGTATAAAGAACACACAAATCTTCCCTGACAAAAGCAAATGCTCCCTCTTCCTTCCTAAAAACAGTCCTTAGAAATCCAACAAAATATAAACAGTGTTTGTCTGTGGTACTTGGGCCATGATTCCCTCCTTTGATCTTCCTCAGTAATATTCCAAATTTTCCACAATGTGTACATGCTAGGGAAAATTATTTAAGTTATTACGAGGATAAATTAGACTGCTTGTCTCAGAGTCAGAAAGTCAGAGATCTGGGGTTCAGACTCCACCGTTAATATGTGGCTACCTGGCCTTCGGCAAGTCACTCCTCTTTCTAGTAAAATGACAGGACCAATACTCACTCTGAGGGCATCACCAGGCTGCCGTGGGAGCCAGGGTGCCCGGTCGGTGCTGTGAAAAACCTTACCTTTATTCCTTTGTTCCACACCTTCATAAAGATTATTGTTGTCATAAAAAGAACGAATAACCCACAAGCTGCAGCCTTTTTCTTATCCTATAAACCTGCTGCACAAGTAATGAGAATGCATTTGAGGCTGGGCTGGTAACCCTCCGTGAATGACCCCACCCGTGTTGGTGAAGCCCTTTACTCACAGGGTGTTTGCTTCTTTCTTCCTTTCATTTTTTTCTCCTAACACATGTAAAACTTCAGACCTGAGTGCTCACTGGCAGACTGTTGGGAGCAGAGGGAAGGAGGCAAAACAGCTAACAGAACCATCAAAAAGAAAGATGGGTCCTTGAAAATGCCAATCCTCATGGTCGGCTCTCAACCAAACAATCCCTGTCTAAGGTCAAACTAGCCACCTTTCTTAAAAGGCACCATTAGGTGAGAGAGCGTATGAGGGGTGCAGTCCTACACAAATGACACTTAAAAGTTCCAGCCAGGAAGGTGCTGTGTCTCTTAAGCCCCAATTGAAGGGCCAGAGAGAAAGAGGAAGAGAGGGGGTGGGGGTGGGGGGTGGGAGGGTGGGGAAAAGACACCAAAAGAATAAACCGACCAATAAGAACCTCTTTTACTCATTTTACAAACTTATATCCAGAACTAGCCTGGGGTGTTAGGTCAATGGAAGAAATGCAGTGTGCAAACTTATTTGCAGAAACTTTGATTTATTCCTACTCTGGGAGGCAGGTTTTTCTTCAGATGTATGATATCCACAGGAGGTCAGCTACCCAACAGTAAGAATTACGATTCCTAACAGTGCAACTTCCTCATCGATAAAATGTGGGCAAGAACTGACTGCATCCTACATTGTGTGAGAATGAGCTAATACACAAAAGCACCCAGAACAGAGTCTGGCACACAGCGAGCTATCAATAATTATTTGCATGCTGCTTTACAATTTTGCATATATTATCCCATTTGATCTTAAGAACTGTGTGAGGTTTTGTTATTCTCACAAGACACAGGTTTAAGGAGATAAAAGGACTTGCCCAGAGTCGTGCAGCTACTAAGTGCTAGGTATGAGGTGGCTCTTAGGACCAACATCCCGTACTCCCGGCTGGACCAGGGACGGCTGCTTTAGCAGGAGTCTGAGCATGTCCCATTTCCAGTCCAACTGTGCTGGGTGCCTGCGGTCGGGGATGCACGGGTCTCCAGGGCCTCTCTGAATACCTGAGGCTGCAAAAGAAGTTTGACGTGAAGGTCGGAAGAAACTCTTCCAGGACAGTTCTCACACCTGACCCTAGGAGCCCGGTATGGCCTCTGAGGTGGGCAAAAATGGCATTTGTGATAGTCTTATTTTTTACATAATAAAGCAACTCACAGCTGCTGCTCCAAGGATCTGATAGTTACTGTTAGGTTAGGTGGCTCAGGAGGCGGCGTAGGAAATAAAGAGAGTTGATCAGAAAAGGAAGGAAGGAGAGGTTTTATTCTGCGTCCCCGGGCGACCCACGAACCCCAAAGACAGGGCACGTGGATCCACACCAACAGGGAGGGGGGCACTTTTTTTATACAGCTGTTCAGTGAGGGCGGGGGAGCATGAGCTGTGGGAGTTCCCGCCGCGGGGGTCGTCACGGTTTCCAGGTGTCGTCATCTGTCTGGTAGCTGACCTGTTAGGAATTCCAGGGTGGGACGGGTATCTGCGTCACCATTTACCTGGTATCTGCGTCACCATTTACCTGGTGCACTGGCCTATTACAGATTCTAGGAAGGGCCCAGTATCTACGTCACCAACTGCCTGGCGGAGGCATGCATCAGCTCCTGGACCCCCTTTCGACCTAACAGTTACCTTTAAGGAATAAAAAATAATAGCTGCCAATTAACAGGCACTGTGTTAAACCCTTTACAAACACCTCATATAATCCTCAATTAGAGGGGGGAGGGATCCGGTGAAGAAAGGCGCCCTTATCCCTATTTAACAGGCAGGGAAACAGACTCGGAGAGGCCCAGGGACACAACGTTAGTAACAGCAGAGACTGAATTTGAACCCAAATCTGCAGAGAAAGTGCCACTCGCCATTGGCCTCGACCTCTCCTTTTCATTCCCCGCACCCACTGGACACAGGCCTGAAATACAGAGACAGGATAAACCTGAGGGAGAAATTTTGTGCTTTTGCAAACCAAGACTGCAAAGGCCACCAGGGTCTTTATTCTGTTTCTCTTGATAGTGATTCAGGGCAAACCTTGAGAGCACCTCTCTTCACCTGGGTCCTTTGTCCTGCTGCCCACAGCTGCTGCTGAGGAGCACAGAAACAGTCACACACACACACACACACACCCCCGGGCCTCCTTGAAGAGTGGGGAGAAGACAAGCCCCAGAGCTGGTACACAGAAAGAGGGGGCCCCTTTCCCCCGGTGGGAGGGCAGTCAGGCCCCAGCACAGAGGCCTCAGCGGACGCTGGACTCACCACAGCCACCACAGCCGACTCTGTCCAGCACAGACGTTAGGAACAGGACACATGGAAAAATCTCTAAACCAACCCTGCTCAGTTCTCTGACCCTACAACCCATAGTGACCCTGACCCCCTCCTTAGCCCACAACCCCACAGCCTTTCTGATAACTGTCTAGCTTTCCCCATAACACTTCATGTCCTCCTGCTCACCTCACAGTGCTCCGGGCACCCTACTCCCCACCTCCTCTTTACAGAATCACCGTGAGTAGGTTCCCCAGGCAGTGGTCAGGCCATTGTCAAAGAATATTCAGTCATGACCATCCGGCTGCAAGGTAAGCAGATGTTCAGTAGATTGCAGCCTTGGGCAGATTTCCCATAACAGAAAAAACTTGTTCCTAATCAGGGCCATCTCCAAACCCTCAGCTCAGATCACCAGGGCTGCCAGCAGATCACCCACGGGATGGGGCACTGCTGGAGAAGGAGGCACTGCAAAAGCATGTGTGTTAGGGGAGGGGTCCCAATAAGTGCACAGACCACAAACCCAGGTGGGAGGACAGGAGGGCACGGATGTCCCACTAATCCAGGTACTGGGATCGGCAGCCTCTCTGAAGTCAAGTTCTCCTTCCCTCGTTTCCTCCCTGAAGGCTGGGTGGGGTCAGATGGGAACTATGTGTCCCTAGGAGCCATCAGAACAGCCCAGCCTCCTAGCCAAGGAAGGTGACTCCAGCAAGTCTGGTCACTGAGGAAGGAGACAGAGTGGGGTAGACAGCAGCCTGTCTGGGAGAAGCTCTCTGATACAATGCACAGCAGGCAGAGAGCTTAAATCTCCCTCCGCACTCCTTGGTCCCCCATCAGCCCTCCCCCCTCTATAGTCCTTCCCCCTCTCCAAACTCCTACCACGAGTGTCAACTTTCAAGATGTGCTCATCTTCTCATAACACTTACTATACAGACCCATCAACCCTTTAGTTTAAAGGCTGAGTACTCTATCCTAAGCTGACAAAAACAGTTTCCTCAGCCTCTAAGGCATGACACTGCTGGGGAGACTGAGTTTTACAACTGTCCTCTGGCCCAAGCTGGGGCAAAATCTCAAGCCTACCTCCCACCAGCCTCCATCCAACTCACAACCCCTCTCCCCCCCAAATCCAAGCCCCACCCACAGCCCTCCATTTAAGCGGGGCCCTTCCATTCCCTTTCAACAGGAGTCTGCCCGGAAATAGGCCAGCACACAAAGAGCGCACCTGTGACACTTGGAGTCTTAGAATCCACCCCCTCCCAGCAGGGGGGGAGGGAAACTGAAACCATCTGAGCAGGAGCTGCGCTCCACCTTGACCTCCTCCTTCCTCTCTGCTCAGACGGCGGGCCCTGGGACAGGCCAGGGGACCACCGGGCAGATTCTTCTGCCTCTGCCCGCAGTCTCACAAACCGGTGCCTTGAAAACACAAGCGAGGCCACTTGTTGCGCAGGTGCGGAGGTTTCCAGGCACCGGGGCTCGGAGGAGGCAGCACTTCTCAGACAGCCTGGAGCTAGCTGAGGACCCAGGCCTCACACACCCAACCTGGAAACTTCATCAAAAAACTGCCCCGAGGCAGGGGAGGAGTGAAGGGTGGTTTCGAAAAGCAGAGGAGGAAAGGTAGAAACTGGTTAAAAGTAGATGAAAACCGAAAGGCCCGCTCCCTTTCTGCCCTCAGGGAGACAGGGCAGTCCCACAGATGGGGGAAGGGGACCCCTTCCTTGACCAGAGTGCGGGTCATGGGGAGGAGGGGGGTGCCAACATCCTTCTCAGGAAACAGGCTGCAATACCATGGGCTTAAATATTGATTGTCGAGAGAGAGAGAGAGAGAGAGAGAGAGAGAGAGAGAGAGAGAGAGAAACCTGCAACCCACCAATCTCATTTCCAGATTCCCTCTCTCCAGCCTAGAGACATGAATAATTAACTTGCCTACCCGAGAGCTCGCCGGAGTGGCTATAAAAGATGAGTAATGGCACGGAAGCCCCGGCCCCACGCCCGCCGGCTTCTGGGCTTCTGGGCTCGGGTCTGGGGCTAGGACCGGCGCCGGGAACAAAGCCTCCGCATTCCTCCGGGAAGGTGTGCCTGAAACCAAACCTGTCACCGGCGAGAAGCTGGCCCCTTACCTCCCCCATAGCCGGCTCCCCGGCTGCAAGGAGGGGAAGAGGAGGGGCCGACGCCCGGGCGCGCGGGGTGGACCCGATGGCCAGGTCGCCTCTGCCCACACCCCCACCCCTGACCGAGCGGTGCCCCCAACCACAGCCGCTTTCGGGAAGCCGCGCAGTCTGCCGGGCGATAATCCTGTTACCATGAACGCCGGCTGTACTTGGAGAGCCAATTCTCAAAGCAACAAGGCAGCTCCCTCGGCGCCCTTCCCGGTGAGTAACCAAAGCCGGGCGCCGGCTCAATGAACACACTCGCTGAAACTCCAGTGGCGCGTTGCGGCTCCCAAGCCGACTGCCCGCCGGGGACAAACCGGCTCCCGACACACCAGCGCACAGGCACAAAGGCACCCCCAAATGCAGCCCGTGCACCCTGCGCCCCGCCGATCCAACAGCCCACAGCCACCCGAAAGTTACCGCACGCGGACATACCTGCAGGCCCCCCGCGGCGGCCCCTGCCTGCCCCCAAGACCAGAGGGGCACGCGTCCCGGGTCGGGCAGCTCCTCCACTCCATGCGCCCGCTCTGCAAGCCGGGGCCGCCACTGGTCAGCAGCGCTGGGCGACGGAGCGCGCTCGGGCCTCAGCTCGCCCGCGGCGCATCGCGCGCCCTCCCCGTCCCCGCCTGGGCCTTGCCTAGGAGCCCACACCCACTTGACATCAGCACGAATCAAAGCACGTGGCGCAGCGCCAGGCGGCGGCCCCCAGCAGTCCAGAGCGCGCCTCAGGTGCAGCCGCTGCTCCAGGACAGCGCGTCCGAGAGAAACATGCCTCTTCTTGCAGAGGATGCGCAAGCGGGACTGGGGAGGGGGAAGGGGAGGGGGAGGAATGACGGGCGGAGGGGACAGGACCTGCAGCCTACCAGCAGCGCTGCTCTGGCGCCCAGCCAGCCACCAGCAGATCTTACAGCCGGTGCCGCAAGCGCCCATGGACCATGCAGACCAGGCTGCAGGTGACCCGGGTTGCTGTCCTCTCCCTGCCATGGAGAGCCCTGACCTTGAATTCTCTTGCCCGGAATGACTCAAGGAGGCGAAGGCTAAGCACCCCTACTAAAGGCAGGGGCTCATGTTGCCCAGCCAGGAATGAATGCTTGGCTGGATGTGGTTGCTAACCTCATCCCCCAGGAGACTGCTATGGGGCACCCAGGAAAGCAGACCATACCTTCTGGCTTGTTTCTATAGAAGCAGCGTCAGTCAGCGGGGGTCTCCTTTCCCTCTCTCTTCTCTCAATGCCCTTGGCAATAAGGGACAACTCTCCTGGTTCTGCAGGCAATCAGAAACAGCACCACCCAGCAGCCCCCACACACTTCTAACTCACTCATTAGCATCCATCCAAAATATCAGACATTCAAGCATTTATTAAGGCTCCGCATGTGCCAGGAGGAACAGAAAATAAACAACATTCCTACACTCATAGAGCGTTTGGTCAGGGAGAGGGAGATAGTAAATACAAAGCCAGGTAATTATAATTATGACCAGGGTATTAGAGGTAAGCAGTGCTGTAAGAATGCACACTGGGACCCTAAACTATCTTGGCAGTCAGGAAAGGCTTCTCTGAGGAAGTGACATTTGAACTGCTGGGGCGGGAAGAGAAGTTATCCAGGTGGAGGGAAAGTTCAGACAAAGACCCTGTTATTAAGGTGTAAGCTCACTCCATTCACAGATGGAGATGATCAAGCAGAAGGGAACCGCCATGCTGAGACACCTGGGCCTTTGTGCAGGAGGGGCCATGGGGAGGCTGCCCGGCCCTAGAAGAGAGTCTGGACGTCTGGCCAAAGAGGCCTTTATACCCTTTACCTCCTTTCCCCTGAACCATGCTCTCCGACCTCCATGGAAGAGCTCTGAACAGGGAGTGGGGAGACTTCACTTCTCGCTCCAAGTCCATCATCAGTTTGCTGTGTGGCTCTACAGAAATCCCTTCCCCTCTCTGGTTTCAGTTTCTCTACCTAAAACGAGGGGTTGGGTTACAACAGTGTTTTTCCACTTGTTTTTTAAAATCCATACTCCCTATTGGATAAATATACAAATGTCAATCCTATCCTATAGCATCTATGGCAAGCCATCATCAAATCATTTTCCAAGTCAAAAACTATAATATTGAACAAGCTTTTAAAACTACATATGCCTTGCCGGCTGGCATAGCTCAGCAGTTGAGTGTTGACCTGTGAACCAGGAGGTCACATGCCCAGGTTGCGGGCTCCATCCCAAGTAGGGACCATGCAGGAGGCAGCCAATCAGTGATTCTCTCTCATCATTGATGCATCTATCTCTCTTTCTCTTCTCTCTGAAATCAATAAAAATATATTTTAAAAAATAAAATAAAACTACATATGCCCTCTAAGTATTAAGCAATATTCTGTCTTTAGATGTCTGATGAAGATAACTTGGAGACAAGAGTAAAAAAAAACACAATATAAATTAAAAAAAGGTTTCCAAGCTCATTCTTTTCCTGTTATTGGTCACTCTCCCTCCCACATGAACCCCTGGCCACCAGCACTTATCTCTAGCCTCCTTTCTTTTATTCTTTACAGGATAAATTGGCCAGACAATGAACAGAAACCCTGGGTCATCATTAAAAAAAAGACATGCTGTGGAAGATTCCTTTAAATGATAATGTCCAGTGTTGCTGGGAAACAGACAATTTGAAGGAAGCATACACAGTTCCTGGGGACAATTTAGCAATATGAATTAAAAGCCTTAAAAATGTTCATCTCCTTTGAACCACTGATTCCACATGGAAGAATTTATCCTCAAACATAAGTATGGATGAACACAAAGATTTATCCACAAGGATGTTCACTTCACCATTTTTATAACAGCAAGTAATTGAAAATAACCTGTTTCTCTACCTAAAATGAGGAGATTGGTTACAGTGGAATATATGCAACTTTAAAAATGATATATAGGATATTTACTATATTGAATAAAACAAAACCAAGGTTACAAAACAAGTGATTCCAATTGTGTGTGCATGAGTGTGTATGTTGCGGGGATGGTTTAAGCACCTATGATGGAGTTGCAGTGTTCCTTTTTCTTATTGGTTGACTCAGAGCCTACCCCCTAGAGCAAAACATGATGCCACTGTGATATGTCATCCTCACAAATAAATCTATTAACCCATATTAAAGTTATAGAAGCTCAATATGAAAACAGAATGAAATAAACCTTACAGGCAGGCAGAAAAAGAGTTCAATTCTTTACCATCTACTCACCATTAATCTTACAGGTGGATTGGTTTTCCCCCAAGACTTTTCATTTCATATAGATTTTTCTGTTGTTCTTTCCTTGAGTCTAGTTCAATGGTTTCCAAACTTTACAGTGCATAAAAATGACTGTCCATGGTGGTTTGGGATAATTTTGACTTAATGAGATCCCCCCCCCCCGACATTCTGAATTTAGAACCTAATCACTGTATGAAAAAGTAAAAGAAAAAAAAAAAAAAGAGTACCAGATGGATATTTACCAAAATGTTAACAATATTGGATTTTTATTTCCTCCCTTGGGATTTTCAAGTTGTCTGACAATAAACATATATTAGCTTAGTCATGAGAAAATAAATGCTACCTAAAAATAAGTGGGTTAGCCTGGCCAGCGTGGCTCAGTGGTTGAGTGTCAACCTATGATCCAGGAGGTCATGGTCTGATTCCTAATGAGGGTACATGCCTGGGTTGTGGGCTCGATCCCCAGTAGGGGGCGTGCAGGAGGCAGCCAATCAATGATTCTGACTTATCATTGATGTTTCTATCTCTCCCTCTCTCTCTCTGAAATCAATAAAGAAATATATTTAAATATATATTTTAAAATAAGTGGGTTAAAAAAATCTCCAAAAAATAAAAAGAAACTGTCTTGACTTTAAAAGGGGTGACTCTGACCATGCCCTTCATATCACTACCTTCTGCAAGCTCTGATACTGTCCCAGTTGGTGCCCCAACATCCAAGGACAGGCTGTACATCGTCGCTAGGAAACCATGCAGGAAAACTGGCAAGAAAATTATTTTTACATTTACCTCCTGGGCTGTGCTTATAATAATGCTTAGCAGCTTAGACTAAAGGGTCTGAAATGAAGCAGCCATGACCATCAGCTAATGGATCTGTCCCCTACCTCTGAAACTCTCTACCAAATATTCTTAATAAGCTGAGAACATGTAAGGCATATACCCTTGGTCCTAAGGAGGTTGAAGAAACTATTCAACCTGCTTTTCAAGACCTGGTAGTGCCACCAAGCACATTGGCAAGGACCACAAGGACCAGCAGAAAAATAATAGGCCATAAATCAAACTGGGCTCAGCCAGTAACTAGTTGGACAATCTGTGCCTCCATTTCCCTCTGAGGAAAATAGCCTTATTAATAAAGGCTCTACTTTTCTTTTAAGGGGTGGATACAAAAGCACCAATATAACAATGGGAAACTGTAACCCACCCCACTATTCTTTTGACATTGTTTCTGTAAATGCTGACTCTGACAAATATGTAGCTTACAGATAAACAGCATGTTTGTATAAGAATCCTAGGAACTAGTTTCAGAAGATATAGACTCCGACCTTCAGTCACCCCAGTTCTGGGAGATTTGTTGACTTTCAACCATAGAACCAGAATGACGTAGAACCAGGATGACGAAGACCAGGATGATGCACACCAGACCACCACTTAACCAGTTTTGAGATCATTATTAGAATGGACTGTGCTAGCCTATGCTAGCCTACAATGTAGAGAACTTTTTAGTTTATTTTTTTCTTTGTTTTTTAAATCCTCATCAAGGATATTTTTTCCATTGCTTTTCAGAGAAAGTGGAAAGGAGAGGGAGGGGGAGTAGGAGAGGGAGGGGAGGAGGAGGAAAGGGAGGGGGAGAGGGAGACATCAATATGAGAAGACACATCAATTGGTTGCCTCCTGCCCTAACCGGTTTGGCTCAATGGATAGAGAATCGATCTGCGGACTGAAGGGTCCCAGGTTCGATTCTGGTCAAGGGCATGTACCTTGGTTTCAGGCACATCCCCAGTAGGGGGCGTGCAGGAGGCAGCTGATCGATATTTCTCTCTCATTGATGTTTCTAACTCTCTATCCCTCTCCCTTCCTCTCTGTAAAAAATCAATAAAATATATTTTTTTTTAAAATTGGTTCCCTCCTGCATGCACCCCACCAAGGCCAGGGATTGAACCTGCAACCCAGGTACGTGCTCTTGACCGGGAATTGAACCCATGACCCTTTGGTACTTGGACAGACACTCTAATCATTGCCCCATACCAGCCAGAATGTAGAGAACTTTTCAACCCCCTCTCCTTGGTTTCTTTGTTCTGCTTTCCCTCTCCCTTCTTATAAAAACCTCTACCTGCACTGAGATGTTGAGATGGGCTTTGTGACAAGAGTCCCCCATCTTCTCCGGTGGCTGACACGTGAATAAACCTCTTTCCTTTTTCACAAGCACCTGTCTCACTAGTTTGGCTTTTGTGGCAGCAGGCAGCCGAACTTTGGTTTCGCTTCATTAAGACAAAGTGAACAGCATCATTTCTGTGTAGGGTGTTATTTAATGAAAATATATGCTGGGACTTCGGGGGTGGGGGTGTACTGGTTAGTTGTGGGTCCTTTGGCACAAGGCTGGTAAACAGCAATTTGCCTCATATCTCAAGCTTTCCAAGAACTTAGAGTGCTCACAAACCAGGTGGGCGAGCTGAGGTGACAAAAAGAACTGTGCTGTCTTTCTCTAGGGGCATAACTCAGGAACTCCTAAATCAAGGACAGCAGGCAGGTGGGATTAAAACTCCAAGCTGGGGCCCTAACTGGTTTGGCTCAGTGGATAGAGCGTCAACCTGAGGACTGAAAAGTCCCGGGTTCGATTCCGGTCAAGGGCATGTACCTTAGTTGCGGGCACATCCCCAGTAGGAGGTGTGCAGGAGGCGGCTGATCGATGTTTCTCTCTCATCGATGTTTCTAACTCTCTATCCCTCTCCCTTCCTCTCTGTAAAAAATCAATAAAATATATTTAAAAAAACAAACAAACAAACAACAACAAAAACAACAACAAAAAACTCCAAGCTGGGGACCCAGGTTCTCAAAACACAATGGGCAAAAACCACGAGAGCAGGATCAAAGGAAGAGGGATGCTTGCCTTATGTGGCCACTCTAATTCAATAATCACGTAATCCCCTACCAGACATTGCAACTTCCCAAATTCTCCGCTCAAAATAAAACACATGACTTCCAGGCGAGCCAGAGCTGCCATTAGGTTACAATTTAAATCCACCTAGAGTCTAATAAAGCTAATTTTACTGTTATGGTATCTATTAAAACATGGGGCCTTTGTTTAGAGTGAACAGAAGGGAGGAAAGCACAGACTTCAAGGGCTAGGAATTTTGATGAACCCAGAATTATTTCTGGGAAGGAAGTCGCAGGAACAAACATGATTTTTAAAAATAACAGGCCACATGCATCCGAAGGTCCACTCTTGTACAACTATCCAGCCCCCCTGAGAGCAGGCCAGCCCTCCACAGCCAGGCAACAGCTTGGGGACAGATACGAGGTACCTGCTTCACATTAATGGGAAATACAAACACACTGACCAAGGAAACCAACTTGGACCTGGGACTTGGAACTTAAGGATCAAGATGGGAAAAAAGCCTATTTGCTCCATAGTCGGAGACCAAAAGCCACCCAAATGAAAGCTTTGAGAAAGTGAATAATAAGTAAATATACAGGGTAGGCAAAAGTAGGTTAATAATAATAAATAACAATAATTAATAAATAATAATACAAGAATAAACTCTGTGTTTCATGTACTCACAACTGTCAATCTTTTTGCCCACCCCTGTATTGAGTTACAGAATTTTTTTTTAAAGCAAGAACAAAACACCCAATTAGCTAGAGCACATGTCTATGACCAGTGATCTTCAGACATCCATTTTAATTAGAAAAACTTCAGGTGATTGTTTAAAAAGCAGAGCCCAGGGGTCCATTCCCAGAGACTCTCATGACAGAAGCCTAGGGCGAGCCCAGGAACCTGCATTTAGCAAGCACCCAGGTGTTTCAGTGGCTTGTGTCTGGAGCCCACACTGTGAGATATTCAAAGCTACAGGGCCAGGAGGACCTAACACTCCTGTCTTCCCTTACCTTCTAGCAGGCCTCACCCAAATAGGCTTAAATCAATTCATAATTGTAGCAGAGTGAATTCACTTGATACCTCTTGTGAGAACTCAACAAAATGAAATCTCAACAAAATTACAACAAAACCAGGGCGTGAAGAATGCCAGAAAGGGGAAAATACAAGTAAAGGCACCACTTGCAGCACACAGGAAGTCCTCTAAAACTGGAAGCTTTTTTTTTAATCCTCACCTGAGAATATGTTTTTATTGACCTTAGAGAGAGAGGAAGGGAGAAAAAGAAAGAGAGAGACATTGATGGGGGCCTTCCATTAGCACTCTGACTGGGGATTGAAACCACAACCTACATATGTACCCTAACCACAACCTTCTGGTGTATGGGACAGCACTCCAACCAACTGAGTCACCCAGCCAGGGCAAACTGGTCTCTTTTAAAAGGATTAGAATGGTATACTTTATTATTATTATTTTTATTGATTTCAGAGAGGAAGGGAGAGGGAGAGAGAGATAGAAACTCAATGATGAGAGAGAATCGTTGATCGGCTGCCTCCTGCACGCCTCCTACTGGGGATCGAGCCTGCAACCCAGGCATGTGCCCTTGACTGGAATCG